CCACAGCAAGAACATAACCACACCCAAGAACATAACCACAGCAAGAACATAACCACAGCAAGAACATAACCACAGCAAGAACATAACACAGCAAGAACATAACCACGCAAGAACATAACCACAGCAAGAACATAACCACAGCAAGAACATAACCACAGCAAGAACATAATCACAGCAAGAATATAACCACGCAAGAACATAACCACAGCAAGAACATAACCACAGCAAGAACATAACCACAGCAAGAACATAACCATAGCAAGAACATAACCACAGCAAGAACATAACCACAGCAAGAACATAACCATAGCAAGAACATAACCATAGCAAGAACATAACCACAGCAAGAACATAACCACAGCAAGAACATAACCATAGCAAGAACATAACCACAGCAAGAAACATAACCACAGCAAGAACATAACCACAGCTAGAACATAACCACAGCAAGAACAACCACAGCAAGAACATAAACCACACCAAGAACATAACCACACCAAGAACATAACCACACTAAGAACATAACCACACCAAGAACATAACCACAACCAAGAACATAACCACAACCAAGAACATAACCACACCAAGAACATAACCACAGCAAGAACATAACCACACCAAGAACATAACCACACCAAGAACATAACCACACCAAGAACATAACCACACCAAGAACATAACCACACCAAGAACATAACCACACCAAGAACATAACCACACCAAGAACATAACCACACCAAGAACCTAACCACACCAAGAACATAACCACACCAAGAACATAACCACACCAAGAACATAACCGCACCAAGAACATAACCACACCAAGAACATAACCGCACCAAGAACATAACCACACCAAGAACATAACCACACCAAGAATATACCGCACCAAGAACATAACCACACCAAGAACATAACCACACCAAGAACATAACCACACCAAGAACATAACCACACCAAGAACATAACCGCACCAAGAACATAACCACACCAAGAACATAACCACACCAAGAACATAACCACACCAAGAACATAACCACACCAAGAACATAACCGCACCAAGAACATAACCACACCAAGAACATAACCACACCAAGAACATAACCACACCAAGAACATAACCACACCAAGAACATAACCGCACCAAGAACATAACCACACCAAGAACATAACCACACCAAGAACATAACCGCACAAGAACATAACCACACCAAGAACATAACCACACCAAGAACATAACCACACCAAGAACATAACCACACCAAGAACATAACCACACCAAGAACATAACCACACCAAGAACATAACCACACAAGAACATAACCACACCAAGAACATAACCGCACCAAGAACATAACCACACCAAGAACATAACCACACCAAGAACATAACCACACCAAGAACATAACCACACCAAGAACATAACCACACCAAGAACATAACCACACCAAGACATAACCACACCAAGAACATAACCACACCAAGAACATAACCACACCAAGAACATAACCACACCAAGAACATAACCACACCAAGAACATAACCACACCAAGAACATAACCACACCAAGAACATAACCACACCAAGAACATAACCACACCAAGAACATAACCACAACCAAGAACATAACCACACCAAGAACATAAACCACACCAAGAACATAACCACGCAAGAACAAACCACACCAAGAACATAACCAACACCAAGAACATAACCACACCAAGAACATAACCACACCAAGAACATAACCACACCAAGAACATAACCACACCAAGAACATAACCACGCAAGTACACAACAACCACAGCAAAAACACAAGGTGATGAAGAGGGAAGGAAAGTGTTGGGGAGGAAAGGAAGGTGTTGGGCAGGGAAGTGTTGGGAAGGAAAGGAAGGTGTTGGGGAGGGAAGAAATCATTCCCTACGAAAGCAAAAACTTTACAGGCGATTTATCCCCTCAATGAAAAGCAAGGGTGCCACGGGTACACTAAGACACAACACAGTAAGTGCCAGGGGCCCAAGACTGTTCAACTGCCTTCCAGCATACGTAAGGGGAATTACCAATAGACCCCTGGCTGTCTTCAAGAGAAACTTGGACAGACACCTAAAGTCAGTACCTGACCAGCTGGGCTTTAATTCGTACATTGCACTGCGTGCTACCGGTAGTAGCAGCCTGATTGATCAGACCCTGATCCACCAGGAGGCCTGGTCATGAACCGGGCCGCAGGGGCGTTGATCCCGGAATACCCTCCAGGTAGACTCCAGGTAGTTCTGGTTTTAATATTATACAAATGGACATAAATACGCTGGAAGTTTTGCGAGGATATTAGAAATCTTTCCTGAAGTGAGTGAGTGAACTTGTACTCTCTGGAAATGCGTAAAATTACGAAAGATATGAGTGAAGTGTACGAATGGAAAACTGGAATAAATATAGGGGATACTTTGTAAATAATGTACTGGAAATATCTAACCAAGACAGGACTCGCGGCACTGGATTCAAGTTGGAGAAATTTTGATTTAGAAAGTATTGTCAACCATTATCAACCCCTTCATGCTTAGCGCTTTTTCAGTCATATAATAATAAGCGAGACTTGTGTCAGGTGGCCAGCTAGGGAGGTAGCCAGCTAGGGAAGTGGCCAACTAGGGAGGTGGCCAGCTAGGGAGGTAGCCAGCTAGGGAAGTGGCCAACTAGGGAGGTGGCCAGCTAGGGAGGTAGCCAGCTAGGGAAGTGGCCAACTAGGGAGGTGGCCAGCTAGGGAGGTGGTAAGCTAGGGAGGTAGCCAGCTAGGGAGGTGGCCAGCTAGGGAGGTGGCCAGCTAGGGAGGTGGCCAGCTAGGGAGGTGGCCAGCTAGGGAGGTGGCCAGCTAGGGAGGTAGCCAGCTAGGGAGGTGGACGGCTAGAGAAGTGGCCAGCTAGGGAAGTAGCCAGCTAGAGACATGACCAGTTAGGGAGGTGCCCAGCTAGAGAGGTGGCCAGCTAGGGAGGTGGCCAGCTAGGTAGGTGGCCAGGTAGGTAGGTGGCCAGCTAGGGAGGTGGCCAGCTGGGGAGGTAGCCAGCTAGGGAGGTGGCCGGCTAGGGAAGTGGCCAACTAGGGAGGTGGCCAGCTAGGGAGGTGGCCAGCTAGGGAGGTGGCCAGCTAGGGAGGTGGCCAGCTAGGAAGGTGGCCAGCTAGGGAGGTGGCCAGCTAGGGAGGTGGCCAGCTAGGGAGGTGGCCAGCTAGGGAGGTGGCCAGTTTGAGAGGTAGCCAGCTAGGGAGGTAGCCAGCTAGGGAGGTAGCCAGCTAGAGAGATGGCCAGTTAGGGAGGTGACTAGCTAGGGAGGTGGCTAGCTAGGGAAGTGGCCAGCTAGGTATGTGGCCAGCTAGGGAGGTGGCCAGCTAGGGAGGTAGCCAGATAGGGAGGTGGCAGGCTAGGGAAGTGGCCAACTAGGGAGGTGGCCAGCTAGGTATGTGGCTAGCTAGGTATGTGGCCAGCTAGGTATGTGGCCAGCTATGGAGGTGGCCAGCTATGGAGGTGGCCAGCTAGGGAGATATCCAACTAGGGAGGTGGCCAGCTAGGGAGGTGACCAGCTAGGGAGGTGGCCAGATAGGGAAGTGGCCAGCTAGGAAGGTAGCCAGCTAGGGAGGTGGCCAGCTAGGGAGGTGGCCAGCTATGGAGGTGGCCAGCTAGGGAGGTGGCCAGCTAGGGAGGTAGCCAGCTAGGGAGGTAGCCTGCTAGAGAGATGGCCAGTTAGGGAGGTGGCCAGCTAGGGAGGTGGCCAGCTAGGGAGGTGGCCAGTTTGAGAGGTAGCCAGCTAGGGAGGTAGCCAGCTAGGGAGGTAGCCAGCTAGAGAGATGGCCAGTTAGGGAGGTGACTAGCTAGGGAGGTGGCTAGCTAGGGAAGTGGCCAGCTAGGTATGTGGCCAGCTAGGGAGGTGGCCAGCTAGGGAGGTAGCCAGCTAGGGAGGTGGCAGGCTAGGGAAGTGGCCAACTAGGGAGGTGGCCAGCTAGGTATGTGGCTAGCTAGGTATGTGGCCAGCTAGGTATGTGGCCAGCTATGGAGGTGGCCAGCTAGGGAGATATCCAACTAGGGAGGTGGCCAGCTAGGGAGGTGACCAGCTAGGGAGGTGGCCAGCTAGGGAAGTGGCCAGCTAGGAAGGTAGCCAGCTAGAGAGGTGGCCAGCTAGGGAGGTGGCCAGCTATGGAGGTGGCCAGCTAGGGAGGTGGCCAGCTAGGGAGGTAGCCAGCTAGGGAGGTAGCCAGCTAGAGAGATGGCCAGTTAGGGAGGTGGCCAGCTAGGGAGGTGGCCAGCTAGGGAGGTGGCCAGCTAGGTATGTGGCCAGCTAGGGAGGTGGCCAGCTAGGGAGGTAGCCAGCTAGGGAGGTGGCCGGCTAGGGAAGTGGCCAACTAGGTATGTGGCCAGCTAGGTATGTGGCCTGCTAGGTATGTGGCCAGCTAAGTATGTGACCAGCTAGGGAGGTGGCCAACTAGGGAGGTAGCCAACTAGGGAGGTGGCCAGCTAGGGAGGTGACCAGCTATGGAGGTGGCCAGCTAGGGAGGTGGCCAGCTAGGGAGATGGCCAGCTAGGGAAGTGGCCAGATAACCCACTACTACTACCTCTCTTGTCCCGTCCCTATCTCCTGGCCTATATATACTGCCATCTTCTCTCTGTCAGTGTGACTGTAAAGGGTCCAAGTCGGACCGAAACGTTGTCGTAAGCTCCTCTCTCCTATGTGCAGGTTATTCATATATTGTTCCATATTTATGTATTGTGTCCTTGTGTTTATTTAGTTTCTTCTGTTGGTAAGACATTTACTGAATTTCCTTGTGTGTCTGCACACTAACAATGTGTGTTTCATCCTCTACTTGTAAATGCTACCTTTGTAAATACATATTTATATTTAATTCTTATGTATATATGTAAATAAAATGTAAATAATTTAGTTTTCATTTACGTATGATAAATATCTTTGTGAATATTTGTAAATATTGCTCTCTCGCTTCTGCTCTCTTCGCTGACCCAGGAGTTACGAGGCGCCGTCCAGCCACGAGGAGAACTCTTACGATATTCACCGCACACTGGACGACGCAGCCAACAAGTACGACTAGTGTACCTCACCACCACAGCAGTCACCACCAGCAGCACCATCACAGCAGTCACCACCAGTAGCACCACCACAGCAGTCACCACCAGCAGCACCATCACAACAGTCACCACCAGTAGCACCACCACAGCAGTCACCACCAGCAACACCATCACAGCAGTCACCACCAGTAACACCGCCACACCTCCACAGCAATCACCACTATACCAAAGCAATAGTAATCACTACACCAACACAGCAGTCACCACCACAATGCCACATAAATTACCACCACTCCAACGCAACAATCACCACCACAAGTCACAGCAGTCACCACCACACCGCCACACGAATCACCACCACACTAACGCAACAGTCGCCACCACACCGCCACAGCAGTCACCAACACAGCAGCCACCATTACACCAACAGAACAATCACCAGTACACCAACACATCAGTCACCACCTCAGTACCACTGAGAGGAGGAATCTGTTTGAGAGGCGGGACTCAGGTACACAAGGGCACAGCTGGAAGTTAAAAGCACAGAAGAAAAGAATCATAAGAACATAAGAAAGAAGGAACACTGCAACAGGCCTACTGACCCATGCGGAGCAGGTCCATGTCCCTCCTCCGGATTAGACCAATGACCCACACTCCCGGATTATCCCAATGACCCACCCAGTCTGGTCATCCCCGATCAAGGATGGAGCACTGCACCAGACCCAGCAGCACAAGCTAGTCAGGTCCAACTCACACTCACCCACACCCACTCATGTATTTATCTAACCTATTTTTAAAACTACACAACGTTTTAGCCTCAATAACTATACTCGGGAGCTTGTTCCACTCATCCACAACTCTATTACCAAACCAGTATTTTCCTATATCCTTCCTGAATCTAAATTTTTCCAACTTGAAACCATTGCTGCGAGTCCTGTCTTGGCTGGAAATTTTCAGCACACTATTTACATCCCCTTTATTTATTCCTGTTTTCCATTTATACACCTCGATCATATCCCCCCTAATTCTACGCCTTTCGAGAGAGTGCAGATTCAGGACCTTCAGTCTATCCTCATAGGGAAGATTTCTGATACATGGGATCATCTTTGTCATCCTCCTTTGTACGTTTTCCAGAGCATTTATATCCATTCTGTAATACGGTGACCAGAACTGAGCAGCATAGTGTAAATGAGGCCTAACCAAGGATATATAGGAATCACAGGGATGTCAGGAAATATTTCTTCAGCCTTAGAGTGGTCAGGAAGTGGAACGACCTGGACGGTGAAGTGGTGGAAGCAGGATCCATACATAGCTTTAAGAAGAGGTATGATAAAACTCACGCAGCCAGGAGAATGTATAAACTTAGTAGCAGCCAGCTGTGAGACGGGGCCAGGAGCTGAGACTCGGCCGCTGTAATCACAAATAGGTGTGTACAGCACAATTATCACAGCAGCAACACAATAGTAGTCACCACCACAGCAACACAGTAGTAGTCACCACCACAGCAACACAATAGTAGTCAGCACCACAGCAACACAGTAGTAGTCACCACCACAGCAACAAAATAGTAGTCAGCACCACAGCATCACAGCAGTAGTCGCCACCACAGCAACACAGTAGTAGTCACCACCACAGCAACACAATAGTAGTCAGCACCACAGCAACACAGTAGTAGTCACCACCACAACAACACAATAGTAGTCAGCACCACAGCAACACAATAGTTAGCAGCACAGCAACACAATAGTTAGCAGCACAGCAACATAATAGTTAGCAGCACAGCAACATAATATTGGTAGTCAGCATCACAGAAATCCAGCAGTAGTCAGCACCACAGCAACACAGCAGAGGTCACCCCCACACACAGCAAACGTCACCATAACGCTACCACAACAGACGTCACCACAACACTACCACAGCAGACGTCACTACAACACCATCGCAGCAGACAATATTGCAACACCACCACAGCAACACATTAGCAGTCACCACCACAGCACCATAGCACAGTAACCAGCTCACCACCACAACAGTCACCACCACAGCACCATAGCACAGTAACCAGCTCACCACCACAACAGTCACCACCACAGCAGTCTCTACCACACCAACACAGTAAATGTCACCACTGTGACCTGCTTTAGCTACTGTGACCTGTTATAACTGCTGTGACCTGATGGAGCTACTGTGACCTGCTATAACTGATGTGACCTGGTGTAACTGCTGGGACCTGGTACAACTACTGTGACCTGATGTAACTGCTGTGACCTAGTGTAACTGCTGAGACCTAGTACAACTACTGTGACCTGGTATAACTGCTGTGATCTGGTGTAACTGCTGTGACCTGGTACAACTACTATGACCTGGCACGAGGATTTCACCAGCTGATTTGACCCGCACGTTTTTCCACCACCTGAACGACCATCCAGACACCAGCTGGCATGAACCAGCTGACACGAACCAGCTGAACGTGAACCAGCTAGTCTTGACTCACCCTGACACTCATTTCCATGTACATACGTAAATAACATATTTACTGATGTGTTTCATTGGCCTGACTCGACGACCTTCTTCCCGCACTTGTTGTAATTCCTGTATTCTGAATCACGAAGCGCTAAGCCCGGGTGGGTCATTCAACGAGTGGTAGAGGCTCGATCCTCCGTTACCATCGCTCCTGTAAAATCACATTTCTTAGAGAGAGAGAGTGATGCCTAAAAAGCATATTATGTCTGTATACTATAGCAAATAGTACGTCTACTACGATTGGAGGACTGTTGAAAGACCAGGGGAGACATGATCACGATATGCAAGATACCGAGAGAAGTTTTGGGGTTAGTGAGCAGAGAGGAAAGAGGTGAGCAAAAAGCTTAGAAGTAATGTCTATTTCAGTTCGGGTCCTTGCCCGGGTGGCGATCCACAACAGGCATCAAATAATGGCACCTGTTTACCGTTAGCTAAGTCAACGGGAGCAACAGGTCTAAGGAGACCTTTTCCACACCTATAGTTTCACCAGGTAATCGGGATCCTTCGGCTGTGAGCCGAACGCGCTAGACCACTGACCTGGTGCTTCTGCGATCCACCAGGAAAGCTAAGGAGGAAAGACGGGGGTGTTATTTCCACGTGGCTGCATGGTGAGCTGCGCCAGTAGAGTGTGTGTGTGGCTGCATGGTGAGCTGCGCCAGTAGAGTGTGTGTGTGGCTGCACGGTGAGCTGCGCCAGTAGAGTGTGTGGCTGCACGGTGAGCTGCGCCAGTAGAGTGTGTGTGTGGCTGCACGGTGAGCTGCGCCAGTAGAGTGCGTGTGTGTTCTGCTGTAATATTCTATCTTACGACAAGACACATACGCACGTATACATCGTATTAATATAAAATGTAACCAGAAAAGATAAATTATATCTGAACTTTATGTAACGATTAAAACAATGAGTTCCAGGAGAAGTGTTGTTTCCAGTACGAAGATCTGGATGGTTAGTGTAGCACTTCTGTCTTCACACACACTCCTGGCTCTCCTGCTGTGGGTAAGTCGATTTTCTTGTACACTTACGGTAGTTCTTGTTCTTCCTTTCTCTCTCTCTCCTCTCTCTCTCTCTCTCTCTCTCTCTCTCTCTCTCTCTCTCTCTCTCTCTCTCTCTCTCTCTCTCTCTCTCTCTCTATGATTATTCCATTTGCCGACTCTGCTATTTCAAATGAAGATTTTTAAAGCTGAAGAAAAACTCTAATAAATCAGATATTTTGTTATTAGTCGTAAAAAAATACCAATTCTTTTTTAATTATTTGAGTAAGAATGAGAAGCTTGTTAAAAGTTTAACACTCTGGCGCTATATAGTTGATCTTGTGAGGTAAAAGGACACATATTGACGGTAATTCTACCAACATTAACACATGGTTAATCTTGTCATCTTGTCTCAGGATCATCTAAGATGGCAAGAAATCTAACTAACATCTAATTACTGTCGATATAAAATAATATTTTCCTGGTGATTCTGACCATATCTGACAGGTCTGTAGAAACAGAAAGGTTACAAGAAATTCGAAGGAATGCTAGGGAAAAGAAGCCAGTAGGCCCATGCGAGGCAGGTCCAAGCCGCCTACCGGTTTATGTCACTGACCAAGCCTAGTCAGGGCCAGGTCACATCCAGTTAAGGAAGGAGCGCGACACCAGGCCTACTAGCACAAGCTAGTCAGGTCCAACTCACACCCACCCACACCCACTCCACTCATGTATTTATCAAACCTCTCCTTAAAACTGCACGTTTTAGCTTCTATAACGGTACTCGGGAGCATGTGCCACTCATCCACAACTCTATTACCAAACCAGTGCTTTCCTATATCCTTCCTGAATCTGAATTTTTCCAACTTAAAACCATTGCTGCGAGTCCTGTCTTGGCTAGATATTTTTAGCACACTATTTACATCCCCTTTATTTATTCCTGCTTTCCATTTATACACCTCAATCATATCCCTCCTAATTCTACGCCTTTCTAGAGAGTGTAGATTCCGGGCCCTCAGTCTATCCTCATTGGGAAGATTTCTGATACATGGGATCAACTTTGTCATCCTCCTTTGTACGCTTTCCAATGCATTTATATCCATTCTGTAACACGGTGACCAGAACTATACAGCATAATCTAAATGAGGTCTAACTGAAGAACAATCAAGGGACTTCTATTATTTATGCTTCTTGATATGAAGACCAGGATTCTGTTCGCTTTATTGCGAACACTTATGCACTGTTGTCTTGGTTTTAGATTACTGCTAACCAGAACTCCCAGATCTTTTTTGCAATCATTAATATTAAGATCTACATTATTTTTATTTTATATGTGGCATGGTTATTTTCCTGTCCAACATTTAGAACTTTGCATTTGTCTATATTAAACTTCATCTGCAACTCCTCCGACCACTGCATCAGTCTATTCAAGTCTTCCTGGAGTGCTCTAATGTCCTCATTAGAATGAATTGGACGGCCTATTTTGGTGTCATCAGCAAATTTGCTTATGTCACTATTTTATTTCCTCACCTATGTCATTTATGTAAATTGTGAGCAACAAAGGGCCCAAAACTGTAGTAGTAGTATGTAGTAGTAGTAGTAGTAGTAGTATCAATATCACTGAAAGTGCTAAGCATATGGGTTATTCAACATCGAAGACTATCAAAATGTATGTAAACTAGTTTGTCACTCCCACAAACATTGTATCTACATTCTGCTATGTACAGTACATGCTGACTTTCTGACTGTCTTTGGGCTTTTCAGAACGTGTTGGGGATGACGTACCTGGAGGAGGTTTCGTATACGTGCTCGCGGGCCATTGCCTGCTGACCATCCTGCAGTTCTCTCTCTCGTCAAGAACACCTTCCTTAACCCACCTTCTGTTTTTACCTTACAACCTCTCCACGGATCCCATTTACACTAAAGCCAAAAACTTAGGTACTTGGAATTTCATCTATGAAAATATTGCAAAGGTGTTTCAAGGTCAGCGAGGAGGCTTCTTTGTGGAGGCTGGAGCCCTGGACGGCGAGCGAGGCTCCAACACACTGTGGCTGGAGCAGGAGCTTGGCTGGACAGGTCTCCTGGTGGAGCCCATCCGCTCAGTTATCAGAAGTTACTGAGCAAGCAACGCAAAGCCTGGATCTCCAATACTTGCCTCTCCCCTGAGCCATTCCCCTTGGAATCAGTACTTGTTTCATACAGCAGGAGGGACATGGGACAACTCAGAGCCCTTGAGAATGCCATAACGTACATCGGGTCATCACATTTACTGGGAGCCACTCTGGAATCACACGCATTCGACTATGTCTTCAAGGAGTCTGATAAATCCTATTTCAGCACGCAGTGCTTTCCTCTGGAGTCTTATCTGTTGGCGCTCAACGTGTCGACGATCGACTTCTTATCATTAGACATCCAGGGAGTGGAAAAACGCATCCTGCAAAATGTACCATGGAACACACTCAACATAAGAGTCCTCGTAGTGGAGATTGTTAATCCACAGGTTTACGTAGAACAATTTGAAAACTTTATGAAGAGTAATGGGTACAGACTGATGGTAAGTGGGGACATAGATTACATATTTATTAAAGAAGGAGATCCCAGTCTGACGGTACCAGGCAGTTTACGGAATGCAAGTAAGATTTAGTATGGTCATATGTGTAGAGTGGACTATAATCTATATGTAAATTACTGTCTATTATGCCGTATGATTTTAGACATCTACTCTTATATTGATATTTTTATAATAATAATAATAATAATAATAATAATAATAATAATAATAATAATAAATAATAATTATTATTATTTATTATTATTATTATTATTATTATTATTATTATTATTATTTTTGTTGTATTAAATTAAATTGGCTTTAATCCAGTATAACATCAGTTGTTTTTCTGAGGTTTTCCTCAGTGTAAACATCCTCTCAGACGTGTTTAATAACAGAAACTGTGTTCAGTTAAATAATAATTCTACCTTATATTCCCGTTCAAGCAAACAATCACCAATTAACTATCTTACACAGAAAATTTCAAACAATTTCCTTCCATGTTATCATATATATATATTATATATTATATGTATTATATATATATTATATATATATATATATATATATTATATATATATAATATATATATATATATATATATATTATATATATATATATATATATATATATATATATATATATATATATACCTATATATCATTATAAATGAAATATAATTTACTAGTATGCATACTTGGACTTATTTTCTTACTGCAGTGAGTACTATTATTTTTAATAATGTCGATTACCTTATATTTGGTTGAGTTATGGATCTGTGGAGAAACATATATCAAGGAAATCCATGGCTGGGCAAAATATATCAGATGTAAACTTCGTAAAAGAAAAGTATTAAATGCCATATGATGCAAATAGAAAATCGCACAACTACTTCAAGGTATCCCTCGGGGATACCTGGTAGTTTATAACAGAGTTCTCCTTCCTCCCTTCTCTCTCTCTCTCTCTCTCTCTCTCTCTCTCTCTCTAAGCAATCCACGTGTCTAATACACGAGAATGCCGTAGTAACACGTCCTGACCGTCTGTTCGTCGGGCAAAGAGGCGTGGCACCTGTGTTTAACTACCCATGCAGCCTCATGGGCACACACACACACACACACACACACACACACACACATACACACACACACACACACACACACACACACACACACACACACACACACACAGAGGGAAGATGAATTACAGCTGGTGATAACTTTTCAGGTACTCAGAAGGTACTCTCCTATATATATACTGGCTCCCTCACTTTCGTGTGTCAGTGTGACTTGTAAATGGTCCAAGTCGAACCGAAATGTTGTCATAAGCTTCTCTCTCTTCTATGCAGGTTGTTTGTGTAAGGTACCTCTGTTAAACTGACCATTACAACAGAATGACAGCTAGACAGGACTGACAGGCGGAAATCACTGCTAAGAAGGATGCAAATAAGCATTAGTTTGCAGCTTATGGCATTTTATTGTGAAAACGTTCATTCTATTAGCGACTTTATTAATTCATATGAATTGATAAAGTCCTCGATGGGCGAGACGTCCTCACAATAAAATGCTATAACCCACCTTGTGTGTCTTATTTACATAATGTGGGTGGAGTCTGCCATTGTTTGCTCATAAAAGAGGACGTTCAGACAAGCGACGTGTACCACGAATAGAAAAAAAACATGAAAAGAGAAGGAACAACTGAAGGAGAAAATGAAATCCCGACACAACACACAGGAAAGGAGAAACAAAACCCCAACAAAGACTTCTCATGCCACCCGTTCCCCCTTCCAACCCATCCAAACAATAATCCAATAACAACTCATCATCTCAGATCTGCACACTAAATACCGACCTTCTGAAGCGCAAGAACCTCCCCTACAACCACTCCTCATTCCAAACCTCAACTTCTCTATACTTGTTACCAAATCCTCACTCACCTTCACCCATATTCCTGACTCCTTCCTGTACAAGAACCACCCCTCATCTCAAACTACTACTACC